GATCCATAGGAAACAAACAGGCCCATTATGTTTCCAAAAACTTGCCTAACTTAACAGAGCAACAGCAGGACAAAAATATGCAAAATCACGAGTATATGTACGGTAGTTAATTCACTGACCTCTCATTCATTCAGGCCAGGATCAATGGCACACTTCAGTCAAGTAACTCCTAGCATTACAAATCAACCTGTAACACTGGATGTTGTAGGGAGCCGAGGGGAAGGGAAGGGAAGGGTGTTGTGAATGACAAGGACCATTAACGTCATGGTGTCCACTTGACCAAGGTTCAGCACCAAAGTATCAGCACAAAATCTTTTCAGTTTTTTATCTGCACAATACACCTACATGTACTGTCCTGTATACATACATAAGATATGCCCACTACAGTATCAACAGAACAAAGTAGAACATGACACTTGGAAATGGTTGATCTTCATTTCTGTGCAAGTTACAACATGTTGGTGGTTACTTAAATTTGCTCCTGTTTTTTATTCACCTCGATCCGGAATAACAAACAGTTTTCATCCTTCCTTTTGGTTCTATTCAATCTATAATTACCACAGGTGACAGGTACTGCGAACAGCTCAGCCAAATGTATCGTGTAAATCCCTTGTACATGCAATGCACTGTACAATGGAGCATGGAAATACAAATTCTACATCACACACAAGTAGATTCAATTATTTCATGAGAAAAATATTACAGTATCAAAGTACATGTACACTGTACAGTAACTACATGTACAGTATGTTCATAAATGCATGTAAATTCGATTAGGATTTAGAAGATTCTGGCACGTGAACCCAGTGCGTGAACATTAAACTTTGTTAAAGTAAAGTACAATGTATGGAGTTTTTACTGCTCGGATCCAAACGTACATGTACCGGTATGCATGTACATGTACACGTGTACGTACATGTACATGTGTACATTGTACACATGTACATGTATACGTACAGGTGTACATGTACATGTACATTTACATGTATATAGAAGCAACATTTTAAGACAGCCAGCAATTACTTTACAAAAACTAAGGAAGATTTTAACCAAAATTATGTGTACACAAAAATTAATACCATAAGCATATGTTTAAATTGACAGGATCCCAATGAACATCACTGTGTGTATTCAAGACCCATTCAATTGATGTTGGAAAATGACAATGTAGTTTCCAGTGGTAAGAAGGGACAGAAATGCAATGTCTTCGTCTCTCTTCCTTTGCCCTATGTGTAACATACATATGCAGTAGAACAACGTGCTCCAGAGAAGTTAGTGCATTCATGTACATGTACATGTATGTATGTACACCGACTGGCCTCTTTTATGGCTTGTAGTGGCTGCCAGTAGTCTTTCAGTCCCTTACATTTAAACTTACATGGAGTTCATTTCATCAGTAAGGTCACAGCCACAACACCTGGAAAGCCTGTCTTTTGTCTGAAAGGGAAATTTGCAGGGAATCACTGGAGCCAAACATGTCAGCATTTTGTAGTCCACAATGTAAACGCCCAGATCTGCTGCACTGTAAACAAAGTCTGACACAAAAGTGACAGTTTTCCGATTGTCAAAGAAATGGCCAAAAAACCCCTAGAAAATGTGTACAAATTGATGAAACTCTCTCATTTTTCTGAACTTCAACATTTGTCTTCCCGTTGTTCCATGCTTAGTCACTGGAAAACATGAATAATAGAATGACAATAATAAAGGAACATGTTTTGTAAATACATGTACATACTGTACATGTAGACCTACATACATGTACATGTGTACATGTGTACATGTACTACATGTACATGTATGTACTGGGTACATACCGTACATGTACATGTAGAACATTTTTACAGACCTGTATCGTTTTCACATCTTTTCTGACACTCTGCCAGTGCATGTGGTATTCTTTAAGATAATTTTATTATCTCATTATGTCGTACATTTCAGCATGACACAGGTTTGCTGTTAATTTCTGCTACATCCAACTGAAAGGAAAAATAATCGGCAACCCAAAAAGGGTATCCTAGAGTAAAAAGTATGTATGTAACTCAGTGCAACGTAATAATGTACAGGTACATCCACAACGCAAGCAACTAACGTCCACCTGTTAGCACCAACCATGCCAACTCTGGTAACACGAAGTGCAAGGTTCACTGACAGAATTCAAGTTAAGACATGTTTGGGTCTATCTAAATAAAAAATGCTGAAAAGATTAGTAATAGGTGTGCGATTAACCAATTATTCCCACCTTCTGTCACTGATAATGTAAATAAGTCAATAGGAGTATCTTTATGTTGCTACAGGCAATTCACACACTGCACAAGTACACGTACACAGTACACAGTTCACTTGTGTGTTGACTCGAAACAGACTTTTTGGATACAACTGGGAACAAACTGTCTCCCCAAATTCTGGCCAGCACTATGTGATTCTATGACTACATGTACAATTAATTTCATATAAGAAAGTATGCATGGATTTTCACTTCTTTTTTGAATGTGTGACCACCTACATGTACCAATCTCTCACATAATTTTACCAGGACAAATTCTTTGTGCATACTCTTACTAGTGCATACATGTGTACCAGTATTTGTACATCACCAAGAGTGATAAGCGTATAGCATGGTCTCCAGCTACTGTTACACCATCCTTTCTCTACCAGTATAGTTAAACTGGGAAGCCAGCTAAACCAAACACTCTAACAAAGGTTAGTGAGACTGGAATGATTCATCTTTTTTATTTACCCTCAAGAGACAGCCAACAGTAACATGAGGCAACAAGCAAACCAAAGGCAATATCTTGCCTCCATTAGTCTTGGACAAAGGACTACTGATGATATCTACAGGGTCAAGGCCTAAGGGTCATCTAAGACGAAGGCAGGTGCTGTCAATCAGACCCAGAGTCACGTTTATTAATAAGAGCTCAAGTCTGGTCACGCTCATTATCTTGGGGCACGTGCTAATGATGTGATCTGGCAGCGTTCCACCAATGGCTACGTTAATTAAAGCCTGCTTGGTTGATCTTAAGAGAACATGAAGCCCTTTGTGATTATCCACCTCCATTGTACCGATACATGCATAGGCCTATGATTGAATATGGCCAGTCTGATTAGTCACTCTTCAAAGTCACACCTTGCACACAGTATCTGTCACACATCAAATGGCCGCTGATTACCATGCCCAACATGCCATATTACCATTATACATTGTACATGTAACTGACTTCATTTTTCTTAACTAAATTCTGTAGACTCTGGGGGAAAAAATGAAGGCCGGGGGAGGCGTACAATTTTTTGTTTTTTCTGCAAAATAAAGGCTAAAGTTTTGGAATGAAAAGGATGTCACAAGTACCACATATCAGTGGAACTTTCTTTCCCTGTGAAACTGGTAGTAGTGGTACAAGCAATATGCAAGAAAAACAGAATGGAGGTACAGGCACTGTACATGTACACGTATGGCACAGTTTGACTTCATTTTACACACATATATGTACAGTGTACATGTACATGTATGACGTGAGTATATTGGTGTGAACTTGGTCATAGCTTTCTATTCAAAATGCTAATTGCTAAACTGCATGTAGGGTATGCGATCAGGAAAGTGTCGCCGGTACATGTCTACGTGTATGGGGAGGGGGTGAATGGCGGTTATAATGTATTTTGTATAAAAATGCAGAAATTGTGACTCATTCGGGGGCACAAGTATACTAGTACATGTCGTTAAGGGAAAAGAGATCAACATGGCATCCAGGTACCGGTACACGTACGTCTAAAATGCATTTAATTAAATGAATTTAATTTTCATTTAACCCTCCCATTCCTGAATCCTCCAATATTAATATGATTTTGCACACACCTTAATGAATGATTCAGACCAGAATGCTGGACAAAACAAATGAAAAGTGCAAATGGAAGTTTTTTCACTGAGATGTGACCTATCGGTAACCCTGTCTGACCCACTTTAGTGGCTCTATCAAAGAATGATGAGCATGTAGCACTAGCACAGAAATGTTGCACAAACGCTGCAGAGAACCTTCAAAATATTAATTTCTCATCCCTACATGTACCTCCGTCACGTTTGCTGCCTGCACGGACTGAATGTTTTTTTATTAAAGCAAAAGGAAAAAAAATAATGTCTTCGAGGCCTGCCCAGCCTGCTCAGTCCATCAACACAACGTGATCCATCCACTATCCAGTCAACTGCATGCAACTTGGAAGACAAGTTTGCACAAGTTTACTGCAGTAGTGCATTGTTACTGGTTTGCACTACATGTACTTATACATCAGATCTTGAATGCGTTGTAGTACAGTACACACATATTAAAATCCTTGGCTTTCTTGATTCTTGATGGTATATGTTCATGGATGTATATTTAACATTATTTACTGAATGCAACCATTAGACAGGGATATTTACAGTACATGTACATTTACTTCACATTATATATTCACAACTTCTGCAACTGTGAGACGTGGGTACATTATGCTCAGTCATGGTAAAAAAAGTAAACAGATCCAGGAAATCAAGGAAATCTCACGCCAAATTGTACATATGTAGACTATTAGAACATGTATATGTATCACTACTTGGACAGAATTCCTCACTATTTTCACTGCTAAACTTGACTTTTACTTAGGAAATTTTATAGACTTTATATTGTTATACATATATTTCTGGTAATGACACCAAGGATTCATCAAAAGCCCCAAAGGAATATTCTGGGTAAAACCCATGGAATCAGGTAGGGTCTGAAAACCCAATCCACATGTGGACCGGGCCGGGATTTCAACCCGGGCCGCAGAGGTGGAAGGCGAGGAAAGAACCACTACGCCAACCTGACTCCCGGATGATAGGCCTAGTCAGATAGTCCACTCACTGCAAGGGCAAAATTAGTGGCATTTATATGAGGAACTCTTTACCCTAATAAAACATGCAACCACTATGACTGCAGTTTAAGGTTTGTCTTTCAGCATGTCCAGGAAGAACTTAAAGATGAGGAAATACTTACATCAAAGGCATGTTTAAACCAATTTGTTGTTAAGTTGAGACTACATGTATATCCTCCGAAGATGTAATCTTGTTCTCTAGTACATGAGCAGGAAAGGCCTTTTGTTCCCTTTTTCAACCGCGACAGCAACAATCATTTTGTTTAATCAGTCATGAAAATAAAGATCTATTCAAGTCGGATACTGGTGACCACATCAAAGTGTAGGGTAACTGACATTTTGTAGGCCTAGTTCATGCTGTTGGTACATGTACTTGGTTGTGGTCCGCTTAAGTAGAGGGTCCGTGGCTAGCCACTCCGTCGTGCGGTGACGAATGTAGTGTGTTCAGAGTTAAGCAGCAGAAAATCTAATTCGATTTGTTGCGTTGTAAAAGGACCACCTCTGGAGAAAACAAAATCCGATTTCGCCAAGTCTGTGCACGATTCACTCATGGAGAGCTACTGTATCGCAACCCTTCTTCACACGGCGATTTCATTAACCACTTCTTCGAAACAGCAAACAGAACTGCAAAATTATTGACTTTAATGTTTTTCGTTGAATTCATTCATCGTTTTGTGAATCGTCTGTCGCTCTATCGCATGTAGTGAAGGCAAGCTAGGCATGTACAATGAGGCAGTGACTAGACTTGACCTATCGTGATGAATGAATATTTATATTTATTCTTTTCCCGTAACATGTATTTTGTTTGGCATTCGAACAAATGAACTTGAAAATATATTCAATAATATTTTAGAATGTATCTGAGAAATTAGAGTATCATCAGATGAGTTTTTTCAGAAAAGATCTTTCAAAATCTCTAGAGACAGTTGACCTTGTGTTGAATATTTATGTCCACGGTAAACATTGGATATCTCGCGAGATCTTGAAGGGCAATGCCGACGTGTTCAAAATGGCGACCGCCATGGAGATTTTCATCGTCCTGTTTTTAGTATGTTGTAGTGTGTTTTTAACAAATTCAGAAATGACTCCGCGGTATAAATTATGTGCAGATGATCAATGCAGCAGTAAGTTATTCCTTTCTTGCGGGTTTTTTCCTTATTGGGTAATCTTACTTACAGAACTCTAATGGAGTATGTTGTTAACATTGTGCAGGCTAATGACATACTGCTTACTGATACTGGGATAGAAAGTTCTTACGTCTGGACGTGAACTCCGTGCATGGAGGAATAATGTTATAGGCCCCCTAGGCCTACTGTAAGAACTCAAACTCACTACTCCATCATACCTAGTGTGACTTCGAGCTAGCCCCACAAGTACTACGTACTATGTAGGGCTGTGGATGGCTCTCTTTTACAATCTGTCTCTTTTCTGTCGCCATCAAAATTCAAGGCATAAGGGGGCCTAACTTTAATTTAAATGCCTGAAATCCAAACTGCAGTTAGGCCTATGCAGGAATACCAGGATTGTCACAAACTTTGAATCCTAATACTTCCGAAATGACTTGACAAGTTTACTTACACCGGCATTTCCTCAGAGTTTGGACTTTCACATATGAGCATCCTAAAGCTTTCCAAAACTGTATAGGGCCCCACCAGTATTTTCCGATGAATGGCACCTTGAAAAACCCGGCCTGTGATAGGCTGACCATGGGCGGCACCATTTTGAAAAAACTAAAGCAGTGCTTCGTGCGTCAGATTTCAAGGCACCCGGCAGCCGCTCTGGTATACATGCAGGTTGTACCATACAAAACTGGTTCCCCATCACCTTGCGTGAGAGTTGAACAAGGAACCTGTGAAATTAAATTTGAATAACATTAACCACTTGCTGCTGGGTGGTTTGAAAAATGCAGTGCACATCATCGGGACTTTTTCAAGATTTTCAGTTTTCAAAATTCTTCAAAAAGATTGTGCGGTGTTATGTAACTTTCTTTTGTTCATGAACCTGGCACAGTGCACTGCTGTCTTTTCAATAGGGGCCAGATTAGCGTGCAGCGGTGCAGTGTGGCTCATTGCTGGGGTGGTGGAATGCTTTTGTCCCCGGTGGTAATCTGCTCACACTATTAATGCTCCAAACCATGGTATACTGTTTCAAAACAAGGCAGGAATATCTCTACTATTGAGAGTGAAAAAATGTCGATAATGCCCAGCAGCCTGGTTTTTTGTTCCAAGTATGGTCTTTTGTTACAAGGCCCAGTTCCCATTGTCCGATTTCGGAGACCCCGGCCACGGGTATAAACACACGGTGCCCGAACCTTGAGTCCCCGGCGGCAAGTGGTTAATATGCATGTCACTGTACAATGCTCCACACACGTGCTGTGGGCTTTCTGTACACTAGCAAAGTGCACAGGCAACATATTACTAAGCAATACTATTACAATATGAATTATGCATCTACGGCACCTTTCGGGTGCCTTGACTTCTGATGTACATATTCAGCCTCACAGTCTTGAGAACCAGTCGCGAATATGAACGCTTTCAACGAACAAAAGTGTTAAACAAAACAGATAACACACAATGAACTTACAACTTTGATTATGGATGTTCCTCCATGGTTTGATACACTTAGAATAATTTGCTGAACAACTTGATTCATGATTTGTGACTCGTGACTCAGACTTGAGGCTTGAGACTCAGGACTGCGACTCGACATTGGTGGCTTGACTACAACACTGCCAGGTGGCATACAAGTACATGTAGGCTGACAGTATAACAATAGCAGCTCCAGATACACGACAGGATAATTGGTAAAAAGTGGTGGATTCACCTTTCCTTGGACCTTGTAAGGTGCATTGATTTAATCTTGGATCCCACTTGTATTTTGAGCATTGGTACTGTAGTTTGGTGGTGGTTTGGAAGGTGAAATCTGGTGATTTCTGTGGAACAGTATGTGCATTTTATTATTGGTATAAGCAATAATGCACATTCCCTCAGACTCTACTCCGGCCTGATCATGTCCACATGTTAACATGGTTAAAGGCAATGTGTAGAGTCCTTTGTGTAGTTACTTGGACTGTGAGACAATAGGTAAATTCAACATTTTCTTTGATTTTGTTTGTAAATTTAAAAGGAGCTATGTCTAGTAGATTTGCAGTCTTTACGTTTGGGCCTCAGCTACAAATATAAAAAACGTTAACATGCTTGTGTGTACATTGTGTTTATTTTGGAAAACGTGCAGGATCTGTTTTCCAATTTTCGTCCCTTGATGCCCAGCGTGCTTCACATGTCAAATTCTGGGTTGAATCCTGTATACCTCTCTTCCTGCAAGGAAAAGTAGTTCTTTTATTTTTATACTGTATATGAACCTTTCTTATAGTATCCAGGAAAATAATTTCTGAACCAAATTTCTTTTTTACATATGCAAGTTTACTTTTTCCATCTTTCATGAAGGACTCTCAATACATGAATTCTGGAGCTCTGAGAGAGCGATCTGATGAGAGATGGGTGCAGGTTCTTTGCTACTAAAATCCTGCAGGAATATTGCTGGCTGATGATTGTTTCTCAAAGAAAATAACATTGAAGTTGAAAAACTTTCTTATACTAATGTGTGTCTTTGCAGCTCCAATATCAAAAGTCCAAGCAGTAAATGATTTTGACCACCAGAATCCGGCATTCATATCCTTCAAGAAAGGCAGTAAGATTACCATTTATGGCAAAGAAGACACACAAGAAGCAGGAGGACTTTGGTATGGAGGGGTTCAAGTAAGTGTTATGGAAGATTTGAAATATAGATTTTTTAGTCAACAAAGCAACATTCCACAGAAAGGAGAGCTACAAGAAATCAAGATCTACATGTACATGTATAGTTCATTGCTCAATCCTTAAAGCATTCTCAATTCTCCAAAATTGTCTGAATGACTTTTTTGGGATTTAGGCTATATACCAAAAATATACTTGGGTGTATCATTCCAAAGGTTGCACTTTATCAAGGTCTTGGGCTGGACGTTTCTGTTGCTTGTGCTTTTCCATGCTGGAATTTATTGGTAGATTGAACTGGACAATCATCCATACTCCTCCAGGATATCAAAGGATTGAGGCAATGATCCTCTCTAAGGAACATTATAAGTTGGAGATTTTGAATGGGATAAGGGTAGAAGCTTATTTTCGTCATATTTAACTGAATCCCCAAGAGGTGAATGTTGTTTGTATCTCATTGGGACAAGTTGCCTGTCTGATAGCTCGGGGCAATCAGATTTTCGTTCGGGTAATTAAAATTCTGACTAGCTGTGCCCGTTTGGGCAAGTCCAGAAAAGTTGATGTCTTTCCTGTCTTCACAAAGCATCTTTCAATAACCTTTTCTGACGTTAAAATGCTTACATGCACATGTATTTTATATATGTTCCTACCTACATTTGCAATGTTTGAAAAGAAACTTCCATTGTTTTCACGAGTTCCCATTCACGTTTCGCTGTCGCAGCGTTGAAAGCACGTACGCAAAGCTCAGTGCATTAAACGAAGCTGCACTGGTTCCTGCCACACCACACCCATGCAAAAGAATGCATAATGGAAATGTAGCAACCAGAATCAGTTTATACATGTATTGTACATTCCGGTCAATTGCTCTACATCGGCCTTACCTGCATGCAACCCTAAAGCTGCAGGTAGAAAAAAATCAATGTTTCAAGAGATTTTTTTGCAAGTTAATTCACATGACTTGGTCTCTTATTTATGTATGTATTTTCTGTGTTCGTGAGTTTAATTTGAGGTTGTTATGCTCATACTTGAAGTGAGCGGGTTTCAACAAATTTCCTTTTTTCAAATTTCCAAAAGGTCTGTCTGGATGATCATGCACACTTACCACGCGATACATGGACATTATTGGCTAGTTTGCCATTGTGAATTGTTGACTGTAGCAATTTTTACATAGATCAAGACAGGTGTTTTTGAGAAAATTTTAGAAGCTGTCGTCCCTTTTCATACCATTCAATCAGCACAAAATTTGACCGAAAAACACAAAAAATTTGAGACCTACTGACCCTATTTTTGAAAGGCATGTAATTGGAAGTGCAGTTATTTTTTTGCCTAATAAAAGACTGCGTGCATGCAGTAGGCCTATGGGATGCCTAAGTTAAATAACCATAATGTGCATGTAGAATCCAAGAAATCTTTGGTAAATGTTGATCCAGTTTGGGCTAGCAAATTTATGGCATGGCCTGCCCGATCGGGCAAACTAAAAAAAATTCGTCGCCTGGTTATGTGGTATAATCCAGCATAAATGACACAGAAGCAGACCTGCCAGCTAGTACGATTTAGCCATATTTCCCACAGGAAATTCTTGAAAATACGATCGTACTTTTCTCCCCCGTAAAATGTTGGTTTTTAGAATTTTGACACACCTGAAAAAAATTGTAGTTCAACCGTTGTGAGGGTACATGTACATTTTGCTAGAAAAAAGCTGTGAATCTACATGTACGCGTTTGCACATGTACAAATACAATGTACAGTATGTACAGGGTGTACACATGTGTACAAACTTCGTGTGTAAACAGCATCTGGCAACCACCCAATCATTATGTTGTGATTGGCTGCCCGTGAAATACCTTCATGTACGCATTATTGGGACTCTTTAAGCCGCTTGTGCATCAGTGGAAGTAGTGGCAAACAATCTCCTGTATTTTATGTACATGTAGCACGCATTTCATGGTC